TGTGAACAAGAAATCCACCGTTAGGATTAATTTTTGTGATTTTTTTCTTTCAGGTCCCTTGGCCAATGTGCTATCAAATCAATTTGACTATCGGCCGGTTGCAATGGTCAGTGCTCTTCTCTCCAGCCTCATTCTGGTGGGTAGCGCATTTCTCAAGAACCTCAGAGCTTTTGCTCTTCTCTTCGGCATTTGTGGAGGTGAGCTGCTATCCATCCAAAAGATGGCATTTCTTTTTTTTCCCATCCACAATGCTATCTCAATTGCGTGAAAGACTCTGAAGGTGGCATCTCCGGAGGAACCTCAGAGACTTGAACCACTCCATTAATCCAGACGGGCTGTGTCGCGAATCTAAGGATTAAAAATGCCGTAAAAAAAAACGACTATTGAAGTGAAATTTAGTCTTGACAACCCTCGTCTCTTACCGAACCTCCAAAGCACAAATTTTTGACGCCAAAGAGGGTCATTTATCATCCATCTAATGTGGCTTAACAATTGGCGGCGTGCTACTTATTACTGATTTGGATAGTTTGCCTTATGAGTAGTCTCTGAAGGGGCACTCATGTTCTTATCGTGTGAGCAAGGCCTGTATATTCCCTAATCTGTATTCTTTGTCGACAATTTTCGTCACTCTATGTCGAATAACCCAGACTAACTTGTGTGTGTTTTTTGGACCGTCTAAATCCAAAGCCTGTTCTGAATTGTAGGGGTCATTACGGTACACAGGATTGTTTATATTGTCGACATTAACGCTTCCGTCTATCCGGTATTCTGTCGTTTTTTTTTGTTAATAGCCTTGGCAACACTTTGTGTGTGTGCATTCGATAGCTCTTGTAAGAAATAGGAGATTCAAAAGCTCCACTGCGTCCATTAGGTGATAGTGGAATAACGAGTTGCACAGAAATAGTGAAATAGCGATGCACAGGTGGTAGACTTGCATCTTGGTCAGTCGGGAGGTGCGAGGAAGCGGTGTTTATTTAGGAAACAAAGACCATCTCTTGGAGTGCCTAGATAGAATTGTGGTTTTTTGAATTTGTTTAAGGTGTTTGCAAAATTTGTACAATTTTTTTTAGCTAACACATCCATCCCATTGGGTCTTGTATCAACGGAGCCCATATACAAATTCAGTTCCCTCGCTCCCTCCCTTCCCAAGTTTGATGGGTTTGACGGATGGGCAAATATTAATTGCGCAGGCGGTGGGAGTAAATTGAAGTAATGTGATTGATGCTTGACGTGTCCTGGCGGTGGAATGTTGGCAGTTGATCTTTCCTCTCCGAAGTCTTATAGGTGGTTTGCCCGAAGAGGGAACAGTAAAGAAGAGGTTGCCACATTCTATTGACTCCTAGTTTTCTGATGCTAGGAGTTGGTCAACTTTAGCCTTCGGTGTGTGCCCCATACGCTACTATTACTTGGTATTTCTAACTACGCATATTGAGGGTCTTTTTCACTACTTCTACGTGAGGGAGGTGAGACATTCGAAGTAATTGAATGAGCTTTTTGCTTTCATTCCATCTCTGATCTGCAAGTAACTGTTCAGCCTTCAACAGTGGATACAGAATTGAGGATGTTTGCCTCTCTTTGTGGCATCATTTCATCACGTCTCAGTTAAAGGTCAAGTCATTCTCCAGGAGGCGGTCAAGGCACAGTTTGCCTTGGATACGAGGGGTTGCGGTAGGTGCGTAGGATGGCCTTTCCTCTCATTGTTAGTCAGTCAGCCAGCCACCCTGTCACTCCCTATCTCAATCCTGTGAATGGTGATTTGGTGTTGTTGTGTTAATGCATTACCTTACACCACAAATCTGTCACTTGACAGGTTCAGCTTTCTTGGATCAAGTCGGTGGTGGTCTGCGCTTGCCGCTTTTGATACTATGGTCATTCATTGTTGAGGCATTCTGAAACGTCTTCCATCTGGTAGTGCTTGTGCACTGAATGGAGGCCTCTGCTTCCTCTGAAAAGGAGTCACTATGTTCATATTCTCCGAATCGCAAGAAGAAGGCTGTCTATAAGGGTAAAGACCATTGCCTCGAGAGCCTGAGATGCGTCTTTGCCCCTTCCGAATAGTAATGGGCTTTGCTGATGACCAGAAAATGTGTGATTTTTTTTCTGCCGTCTTTATGAGGCATGCTGTCCTAGGCGTTTCTGATGTCCATCGAATCGTATTTTAGTCCCCTTTTTTAAACGTGTCTGAATGCTTTAAATACAGGGTTCATTTAGTTGGTCTTAAATTGTGTTTATGCAGGGAAGTGGTTTCACGTTTGATCAAAAATCTGAAAGTAATGCAGACTGCAGCGCTTTTTCATCAGGACCCCTCGAACTAACCTGTCGAGCAATGCTACTAGACGTGCTTACTTTGAGTCTGTAGTGACCGGAGTGTTGGGGGGAGGGGAGG